ACATCGGTAAAAAAAAAAAAAAAAGGAAGAATATGGACAGTATTCATAATCCTATAATACACTTACCAAAGTTTCATGTTTGACACTGTATTGTGTGTATTTAAATATCAATTATGACATTTTACCCACTGAGAACAGGCTAATAATTCATAACCCTATTCTGTGTCAGCCAGCTTTGCAAAGTAACGCTGTGTTGTATCTACGTTATGTGCAGCTAACTTTTAAATTTGTCTGATATCTTAATAAAAATATGAGGTCACTAGCACACTTACACTGTTGCACCTTTTTTCCATCATGTTTATTCATGGGCACATAGTACTGTATACTGTGGAAACAACACAATTTCAAACCAAAATCCACCAAGAGTTGCAGAATAATTTTCTATTTCTCAATGAATACTGGTGTACTAGATAGAACAAGGCAGGCTTCCTTAAGTCTGTGTTGTGTCACAATCTTTATTCAACAGCTCTGAATAATAAAGACTTCTTCAGTTCATCCTAAGCCATACTGTCTAACTCTCTAACACAACTCCAATAGTAATTGGAGTGACTAAACAATTGGCAATGTCAGCGATTGCTTCTACTGAATGGCTGCCCAGTTTTTCCTTCTGCTTACTTTTAGTATATATTTAAATGTTTTGACATTCGTCGCAGTGCCTTTTGTTCTTTGTATATGTTACAGTGACTCCGAAGCCAAATGTAAATATTACTGATCATTCGTCCTTTGTGAAACTGGCCTTTCACAGAATGTTCCAGAACCAATTTTGTACAGCAATTTGTAGATGAGCCCAAGCAGGTCTTAAAAAGCCATGAGTATGAGCAGCAGTTTAAAAATATTTATGATATAATTTGTTATCCTGTAGTAGTCACTGGAATTTCTCTGTTTATTTTCATATGTGATTATCAAGTTATTTGTTTTCTGGCACGGCAACAGCTGGGCCTGTTTTGTTTTTGCCTCCTGTGTCCCCTGTAGGCTACAGAGAGGAAAAAAATCAAGTTATGGGTGTTTTATCTCCGAGAAATAATTTCCTAATTAAGTCCAGAGTAGCGAGAATTTAACAGCCTGCATGCAGGATTCTGTCCATGTCTGACTGATGTTTCTAATGTTGAATATTAAAGAAAAACATCGTCAGAACTCACAACTAATACATAGTTGATTTGAATTATTTTGTGTGTGCCTCACCTATTTGCATCTATCAATAAACTGTGCATATATTTTCTCACAGTATTATATGGTGTTTTTTGATTATTTTTTTAATGTATCCCCTTTTATAATATGGGCTATTTTCAACTGCCTGTATTGTGAAATGGATGAACTAATGAATAAATATGGTAAAATCTATTAGTCTTAGTCCCAGTTTGAACATATAAAATGAAACTGTTTGTGCAAATGTCTTTACTAGAGATTCAATTGTACAGAGATGACAGGAAATGAGGGCCTGATTGGAGTCCAGTCCACATGCCTTCACAGAGGAAATGTAGGATATTCTTTTATTGTACAACACGAGCAAGACTGCATACAAAGTGACCTCGTCTTTGTTATGTTTCTTGTCTCCTACTGCTCCTATTTCCCAGTTTAGAATTACAATTGCTCTGAAGTACATCATGCAAGACTGTGTGGCATCAATTGTAATTGCAGAATGAAAAACCTTAACCCTGCAAAAACCAGGGAAATATATGAGTGCCACTAGCATCAGGCAGTATGCAAATCCTCAGCAGGAAACAATATTGCAACCGAATTCATTGTTTTTCCTAAATTTCTTTGGATTGATTTTTCCAACATAATATACTTTTTAAAGGTATATAAATAAATTGTGGTCTTTTCTGCAAAGGAAATTCTCTAACCTGAACAAAACATCAGCTGGCACAAAACTCAGAGATGGACAAAGAAAGCCGAAAAACTCAACCGAAGGAGCCGCATCTGCTGAGACACAGTGCATTGCGCGGAACTACACAACAGGTTGTACATGTAGTAGAATCTCAATTTGAGTTTGGAGCCTCAGGCCAAAACAGACCCCAGACTTTTCCCCCCACCCTGATCCCTCCCTGAGAGCCGCATGTAGCGTTCTGCTTCACATCGCTCCTTCAAAACCACTGGCTGCTCCCTTGTCATAGGTGGAACTATGTTGCTATGGTGTTTTGACCAATGGAATGGCATTTCCAGGAACGCAGTCAGTCTCTGTCTCCCTCTTTCTTTCTCACACACACACACACATTATACACACTCACCGGGTGAAGCAGCCTGTTGAGCAAGAATCCAAATAACCCCCTGGAAACAACATGGCTCCCTTTCTTTGTTTGTCCAGTGAACACCGGTTAGGAGGTTGTATACTTCATTCGAGCAAATATGCATCCCAGCAAACCGTCCTCAGAGCAAGACCTAAGACGACAAAAACAAAGATATGACACCTCCCACCTCCCACAACTTGAGTATTATTACTGTATGAATGCAACTGCTTTGAGAAACATTATTTAAAGTGAAATGTAAAGGACAGTTAAAAGAAGAATCCACTCTAAAAACTCTGTTCAAAGCTAACTTATCAGCTAGGATGACTGGCCAAACATATATTTTGACTAAAACTTCCAGTCACTGGCTGCCCATAATTACTTTCTAATTACACTGTACTTTCTTTGCACATGCACTACACTTCTTAAATAAATAAATACTTCTATAGCACCCAGTACAAAGGCACAACATATATTTTTATATGTTCATGTCAACATTTCTTATGAAACCACAAGCATGATATTATGTTCCGTATATTTAAATGACTGTGGATGGGGCCACCAACTGGCACATGATTTCACCCACACTTGTGAATTCATCCCATTATCAGTTTGAATATTTTATGCTCAGTGTTGGCGGCCTTAGGAAAGCTATCTAGAAAAAAGTTCCCAGGCCAAATTTCCATTCACATTGTTACAGCACAGCCAGCAACTGATTTGACAGCAGCCCAGAGCGCTTCTGCTCCATCAGTTTCGACATAGCTGCCCATTAGAGAGTGGGTTAGCAGGGATGTCCCGTCTGTGTCCTTGCTGTTCCGGTTCTATGTTTTGACCTCACAGCCTGTGGGTTCCTGCTCGTCGCTGTTTGCAGCTAGCTGGCAACTCAAGAGCTTATTACTGCTGCATGAAGTGACACAACATGCTTCACTCCTTGGCAGATCCTGTGTTTAGGCTATGGGTTAGTCCCTTCTGCCCCGAGACTCAGCTCAAACCCTGAATCAATGGACCGGCTCTATAGGCCTTTTTCACAGATGACACAGGTGTAAATAATTCAATGAATGATGGCTGAATTCCATTTAGCTGCTTCAGTTTCAGGGTCCTGGTATTGTCTTGTGCAAGCTGGCTTAATAGGACACTATCAGGGCTTACTGGGACAATATACCTTTTTCACAGCAGCCAGTTTAACATAAAGGACAGTAGGATAAACACAGGTGTTACCTAGGTCTGTTCCATTTAGTGTAGCAGAGCATTTCCAGTGTGCCAACAAGCACGATAGCAGCACCCTGACTCTGTCTGAATAGAACAGTACCTTAATTGGTATCATTGGTAACGCCTGTGTTTACCCTACTATTTTGTGTCAAAACATCTGCTGTGAAAAAGGTATATTAGGGAAACCCAAGAGAACCAATCACATACATAGAAAGCATTTCTCTCTAATTAATTACAACAAATGAAGTGAGACTTAATGTTACCCAGCATCCCCTGGGACAATGTAGCCACAGCTGCAGTTCTCTACATGTGTTGTGCTACCTGCTGTAATTTCCGTACCTCCTGCTAACGATGGCCACATTGATTTACAGATGTGCCAGAGGCACCACAAGGTCTTATCTCACCAAACTAGAGATTACTCGTACTAGTACTGTAGGGCTCGATAGAGGTTATTCAGGACAGAGGACTTCATGGGTTGCTACGCTTGACTTCTGTGTGCTCTTCCTTTGTCTCTCTAGTGAGGAGGCCTTTAAAATGTGTGGTGCATCATATATATCAGTGAGGTAACAGCTGGCCATCAACAGGAGGAGCTGAGAAGGATTTGTGGCATGAGAGGTAGCCAGAAGGTGGAAGGTATTTTAACTATTACCCTTCCCCACATTCGAGCTTAGCAACACTGCCTCACTGATGATATAGAAATCTTCAGCTTCCCTCCTTAGTCCTTCACACTCCACGAGCCTTCAAGCTCTGGTCAGTACAGCGCTCCTGCAATTATTTGTCCTGGAATGTGTTCTGCCCCACTTGCACTTCCCCTCGACATGCTGCTTTTGTTATTCTGCAACAATAAGGTCCATTAATCTTTAATAAAACAGAAGGCAGCCTTACCACTGGCAAGAGAAAAACTCAAATCAATAACCCATGTTAAGAAGTGGAACACTGTGGAGAAATGAGAAGCCTTGCAAATTGCAGCTTCATCAAGGCCGTTCATTTCAGAGTGTTGTACGTTTGAAGGGTCCAGGCGTGTATTTTTATGAGTCTAAAAGAAATATTACATGCCAAAAAATCCCTGCTAAAAAGCGCTTCATTTCTTTATTGATACTGTTGTTTGAATTATGCACCTGTACTTTATCAGCAGTTGTAAACATTACAATTTATTGGGCAAGATGTGTCAAGAAGCAGCCATAACTTTGCATGAAAATACAATCGCAACACAGTTTTATACAATATATTGGGACAGTGTGACAGTCCAAATATGTTCCTGGTAGTATTCTGACATCTAGTGGCTCAATATCACTACTGCACTCACGGTTCAGGTTGATGCGGTAGTCTTAGTCTCACAAATCCTTGGCAAAAAGCACAAATGTAGTCATTTAGTAATTTTCTAAAATTATAGCTGCAGTAAAAACTTAAGAAAACAAGCATTTCTCATAAGTTTTGAACATTAAAAACAATAGGTTCAGCTTTAACATGACTGCCAGCATTCCTTTTTAATAATGTTTAAGAGGTCACTGGTTTGGTTACGAAATCCTGCGCCACAGCGGCCATAAATGCACACCCAGAAAGGTCGAGAACTGCCAAACTTTATTTTCTGATCAAAACAAAGGACAGCATTAAAACATTTCAACACTGTAATGACATTCACTCACTGTCTTACGTGTGTGAAAAAGAAAGATGCAATCGAGCACTTTCGGCTTAACATCATGCTCAGAATTAACGTTAGTCAAACTAGTTTATTTTGGTCATGAAAATTAATTCACCCTTTTATGACTTTACAATCGCTATCAAAAAGTTGAATTCATCATGCCAAAAAGCCTAAGCAGACGTGAGTGAAAAGAAAATACACAAGAATATCCGAGTTTGTGAAAAAAATGCATTCGATCATTCACTTGATTATGTGGTCAAGAGAGTGTTTGTCTGATGACTTGTCAGTATGCGGTGGAGCACCAGGTCCTCGGGCAGGACGCAGGTGAGATCAGCCCAGGTAGAGGAAGGGAAGAGGGAGAGAGGAGGAGAGTTTTTGAGGGTTCTCGGAGGGGTGGGGGTGTGGAAAGGGTTCAGGTTTCAGTGGCTAGGAAAGATGGGACCTGGGAAGGGCTGATTTCGAGGCTTTGTGTTCATTTCTTCTTGGGTTTTGCCTCCAGGGGTTGGCCAATATCCCTCCCACGCAGTTTCAACCCTGTGTATGATAGAAGAGGAACATATGGGTTGTACAACTAGCAACTGAGACATCATAGACATGATCTTTTCAAAAAAAGGTTTTACAGCGTTCTTACCAATTACTCTCTCGACCTTGCCCAAGACCTGGTTGTTAGGAATTGCTTTCCCACACTCATAGTCGGCAATGACTTGAGGCTTCTCGTTAATTTTCTGAGGAAGAGATTTTCTGTGAGTTTGTTAAACCACAAAGCAAACAAAACTACTCATCCTGTAACTGGGAATCCTTTAATCTCAGCGCTGCAGTGTTCACATTAATCATACAAAAATCAGTAACTTTTTGAGTCATCAATAAAAGGAAATGGTGGTGTCAGCTTTTCTTCATTTATTACATGATAAAAGACAATGATGATTAAGTGTGTACAGGAAATGACTTTGCTAGCCAGATCAAAGAATACAAAAACAAGTCTGTTAGTAATAATCATTTATACTTAAAGTTTATTGTATGATGTTTACAACTATTGTGGTTCTCTCATTTATAATTAAATATTGTTTGCAACTTCTATACAGGGCTCTGTATATCAAATCAGAGACTGTCTGCAGTCAACTTTTTAGCATTAACTTCTGGATGGTTCACATTGCCTATGTTATCACAATATGCATGTGTTCATTTGGTTAGTTGTATCTTCATTTTATGCTTTTAGGTTTATTTTAAACTCGGTACGTCACTTTAAGCGAGCAAACTTCTGTTCCATCAACATACACAATCAAGGTACAACAATGTGTTACAAATCCAGACAAATGCACCTTTTCCAAAAGCTGCTATATGGTGTGCACATCGTATACATATACACATATATAGGAGAAGTCAGTATACTCACAGTGGCCAGGTCTTTCTGGGTCAGGCCTTTCTCCTGTCTGCCTAGCTGGATGACCTTGCCCACCTCCAGGGGAACCCTGTCATGGTGTAGCTCCTCTGTCTCCCGGTCCAGTTTGGCTGTGTTCTTCGTCACAAGATGCTGTTTGTTCTGCCCCGCAGACCCTGTGTGACAAGCAGTGGATCAAAGTAATGTCGGGGGTGTCACACAGAGTGGTAGGTGTGCACAAACAGTATGATGACATGGATGATGACATGGAGGAAAAGAAGAAACTCTGACACATCAAAAAATAAGTCACACTTGCAAGTGAACTGTGGCCTTGATAAATAAATGAATTTACATTTCTTGGTTGTCTCAATGTCCTCCCCACGTCTCTGAGCAGAGGTGATAGCCTAGAGAAAAGATGGAGATGTACAAATCTTAAAACAACAGTAGGTTGCATTATAACCAAGCTCGTCCTCATAATAGCCTATTCAGCTGTTTGGCTCATTCTGTTAGTTAATAAGTAACGAATCTCCATGACGAATAAGTTCAACAACAGATAACATCACCAAGCCTGCATGACCACAATCTTTCGGCTAACAATGTTTTCCCGATATCGACAGTAAAGCCAACTATAGCCAAGTTGTGCTTTTCAGGTTAGCATAGCTGGCTAATGCTAGCTAGTTAGCTAGCATTAGCCAGCTATTCTCGTGACCGTCATTGTTTAACTTAAGGTAACTCCCCCGGACGTGGGTAATAATTTAAGGGAAAAGTCTGCTTTGCTGAACAGACCATAAGTAATTTTTTTTTAAAAAGTGGCGTTTTCAAAACATATTTTCAATTTGCTGACACAGACGTTAACAGAGCTATCTGGCTATCCAACTGAACTTGGGTTGTTAACTTAAGCTAAGTTACCTCCGTAGTTTGATTTGCTCACAGGAAGAACACGACGGTTCCAACAGCAGCACCAACGGCTCACACGTCCGCATACATCGAACGAACTAACGCCATCTAACCGTTAACCGTTAACCGTTCGTTGGAAGAGACAAACGGTCCCGTCCGCTGTTGTTATTAAAATGAACCACGACACATGGTCGATGTTTGCTCGTAACAACGCGCAGAAATGGTCGTTATTTGCTTATAAATCACATACTAGACGTCAACTCGGGTGTTCGGTATAATCTGACACCCGATATTAGCTCATGTCAAGTACCCATAGTTAATAGTATGGCCCCAGAATAAATACACACAGACGAAGTGAGATGTTCATGCTAACCTGCTTGGATTTGGCCTGGGCAGCAGTCGGCCCTTTCTTCCTCAAGACAGTAACGGTGTCCCAGTCACTTTCTGCCATGTTTTCAGGGGGTTCACTCGATACCCGTATAGTTTAATATAAGATACAAAAATAAGTTCAACTCAGCGTGTTCAAAATTATCCCTTTAAAGAGGGTAGTGCTACTTTAGCTTATCAGACACTCCTTCCAGAATTATCACCCACGCGTTCTGCCAAAGCTTTATTTAAAACAGAGACACGAACAGTGACAGAATGGAGGCGGTTCAGCAGCGACTTCTGCTGGTGGAGCAGGCTGACCTACATACATATATATACACAGGTTTTCAACCCTGCGACAGTACCTGCAAGTACAGCATGCCTGATTGCACTTTCAAAACACACATTGCATCAGACAGGGGGAAAACACATCGCCACTTTACCCAGTGGTTACAAAATATTAGTTTGATTTGGCTGTTTTTGAGAGAAGAGTTCAGGCTTAAATAATTAAACTAGAACATATAGTAATTTATTAGAACTTAGTTCACACATTACTTTGAATAATATACCACTGGGTGCACCAATAGTAAGGTATATCGTGTGTTATGATTTTTATTTAAGTACATTTTAAAATTAGAAGACAGTTTAGAGAATCTCACAAACCTTGCACAAAGCTGGCATGGACATAAAATAGACTGACGGGATTGGATAGCCATGTTTTTATTAAAAATCTATCATGTTCAATAAAGTAATAATATACGACAAATATAAATGTATTGCACTACATGTAATTATCATAATGAGTGGAAATGTACTGATAAAAAAATAAATGTGCAATGAGTTTGGGTTTCGATCATCAATTTGGTGGAAGTGAGCCGTACAGTATTTTGCATTAAATTGCATCATCAGTTGATCTATTGGCCACAGTCTGCCAGGTCACCAGTTGCAGGACATTTCAGAGGCAGCATCACTGTTTCGTCTTGTGCGGATGGGGGACCAGCCAAACTCCGACTGGGCGTCCTCAGTCTGGTGGAGACGTCCCAAGCGGTAGCCATGTTTGGAACCCTGTTTCCCTGCCCATGCACGTGGCTTGGGATTCATCTGGAAACAGATAAAGCAGAAATTAGATAAAAGACTAAAGCAGAGTCCAATGAGTTTTCAAGCACCAGGAATTCATTCTTTATTTTTCACCAAGCTTTTAATGGCACTCCATAAAATAAGTGTTTTCTGTGTCACAAGGCTGGATTACCAACCAGGAAAAGTGGACAACTGCTGTCTGTTGTTTGTGTTTTTGTCTGATGCACAACTGTGTTGTGAACCTGTCAAACTGTCTAGAGGACCGGTATCAAAACCTAGTTTTAATACCTTTATAAATCAGTTAGTATTATGCTTTCACTTTGCCTGAAACCAATAATGATCAGGTAGTTCACCTCAGGCCCACAGAAGTAAAATAAAATAAAATTTTAGAAGCAGCTTTGTTATTACAGCATAACATACCATAATATTGACATCAGTGATAAAAAAAAACAAAAAACTTTGCAGGCACATAACCCAGAACCACTTTAAAACTCTGTTTCTTACCTGAACAAAAACAGTAGTGTTCATGTGAAGAGTTTCCACTCGTTCTGACAAGTGATTCAACCATTCTAGATGGTCAGCGATAGACTGGCTTAGATCACCGTTGCTCTATATTAGAAGAAGAAACTGTCACAACAGGAGAAAGCTAAAAGGAATATGTGTTTTGATTAGAGATGGTAATTTATTTCCTGCCTATTTCCTGTAAATTACCCCAGACAAGTTGTCCTTCAGTTCAACAGCAACAAGGCGAACATGCTCCAGTTTGTCAATCTGCTCTTTCAGCCTGTCGTCAAGCTCCTGCATCATCATCAGTCCCTCATCGGGTCTGACACCCCGCTTAGTAGTCATCCTGGGACACAGAAACAAACATACTGGTGTTAAAAAGGTTTACCTGCCACCTTCAGAAGTTTTCTGATGACTCAGCAATAGTTTGTTGTATTAAAAAGGGTGATGACAGTGAATACAGGACTGTGGGGGGCAACTTTGTCCCCTGGAGTGAGCTGAACCATCTGCAGCTCAATGTGACTAAGACAAAGGAGCTCATAGTGGATCACAGTGGGCTGAAGGTGGTCGCAGACAACAACAGACTAAGCAAACTGATCAGGAGGGCCGGTGATGTCGTGGGGGAGGAGCTTGACACCCTGACGACCATGGCAGAGAGGAGGATGCTGTCCAGGCTATCTTGTCTCTACGACAGACTGGCCCAGCAGAGGAGCACCTTCAGCAGAAGACTCCTCTCACCCAGATGCACCACAGGAAATCATTCCTGTCTGTGGTCATCAATCTCTACAACACCTCCCTCAGAGAGTCAGACACCCCCTCTCTGTAATCTGACCTCAAACACAGACATCCACTTCTGCACTTTCTTCTTTATTGCACATTTTCAAACTGTACATTTTACACTTTACCTTGTGTATATATGTTTATATATAGATATGTTCTTAATAATTATTATATGTTGTATGTAAATATGTTGCATGTAGATTTGGAGTTGTAACGAAAGTAATTTCCCCCTGGGATTATTAAAGTATTTCTGATTCTGATACCTGTTAAAATTCAAGCATTTCCTCACTGACTGGGTACAACCACCAGAGGGAGCCACAGCAGCAAGAACAACTTACCTACAGAGGACCCTTCTGCTGCAGTGGAAGAAACCTGCACTACAAACTTTGGTGACCACATTTCTCTCAAGATATAATGACAACAATGACACTATTCTGCCCAACAGTAAAAAATAATCAGTCACCACTTAAAAAGCTTACCAGTATGAGAAACACTGCAAGTTACGATTTTCCCAGCATCTCTATTGCATGCAGGTTATGTAACATTTATTTTATGTTAAATCTGATTCAAGTAAGTCATTCTGCATTACTATTAATATTGGTCAGTATGATATGGCTACATAGGCATATAAAACAAACTTTTAGCCCCACTAGATAACACTGGGATTCAAGTATCAAATCTTCAGAGAGCCTTGCAAAAAGTACAACTCAACTAACAGTTATTTTTAATATTAGTTTTCAATTAACTGATCGATTTGGGTAGTCTTTAAAACCGAAAATAGTTAAAATGTCTATCATTATTTCCCAGAGCCTGTGGTAACATCCAAAATGGTTTACAATGACCTAAAACATAGAAAAACAGCATATCCACCAGCACGGTGGAGCTGGAGCAAGCAATGCAGCATTTTACTTGATAAACTACTACTATCTATACTAACAACGACTAATAAATTATCAAAAGAGTGGCTAATAATAAGTTAATTAAAAAGAACAGCACGGCAATACCGCGACACAGCTCTCAATTGGACGCCAGTCGATTTCAATAAACCAGTTTTACAAACAAGTGTTAGTACGATCCAGGTAAGATGGCTGACATAACGTTACTTTCGTCTCAGTAGCAACATTTCACGTTTGTTCCATTTCGTTCTTCAGCTGTTTTGCTAACGCGTATCGTTTGTGTGTAGGGACTGTAGCCACCAAAGCGAGCCCCCAGGTATGTTAGCTATCAGCACACAGTGCATATATAATATATGTAACTATAATATTAAATAACATATAAGATAACATATAACTCCCTGTCTCCTGCGGTCGCACTACAAACTGAAGTGGAACGCCTAACGTTAGCGCTAACGGTTACTAGCGGTTACCAGTTAGTTTCAGAACGTAGCTAGAGGTTGCTGGGAGATTTTAAACGTTATTCGCGCGTGCAGAACACCACACAGACACAGTGAATCAGTTAGCACAAACCGGAGGAGGGGGGGACAACAAGTTAGTGAAGTGAAGTTACCTCGTTTATCTGACGAAAAAAAAACAAACAAACAACAAAAACACTTCAAAATGCTCGGAAGCAAAACACCAATACAATCCTATGGTGAGGTACGCGACTTCCTCACTCCACAGTCACAAAGAGCAACGTTTCTTCGTCCAGACAAGTCTCTTTGTCCCACAACTATCTCTGGAATTTGACACTTCTGACGTCACGTAGTTTTTTTTTTTACAGGTGCATTATTATTGTGGTATTACGGTAATGGTTATTGATCAAATACTGGCGGCAATGGAGAATTATTCAAGAGTTTAAAAAAAAAAAAAAAAAACAAACTTTATTTATATCACTCCTCAATATTGCAGCGGATTTAAAAGTCAATCTGGTAGTGCTGGATTATTCAGTTTTAAATTATACAAAACACATTGCTAAAATTTAAGAGTGACTTTTGTCTTGAACAGTGCTTTCCTAAGCTTTTTGTATTGTGACCACTTAAGATAAAGTAATATTTGTGACCCCTCTATGGCTTTAGATTAATTTACTCCTCCAAGTTTGCTTAATCTGGGGGATTTTTTAAAGGCATGCAGTAAAAAAAAAAAAAAAGCAGAAAAAACTGAAAAGAGCCATAAATTTGTTATAATTTTCTCTTCTATCACTTTAATCTTCTTATATCCCTTATATCTTGGGACTCATTGGGGGGTCCCGGCCCTCACGTTGGGAACCACTAAGGCCCTTTAAACTGCAAAAACCTGAGTTGTCTTGGATTCAGATATCTTTTTTTTTGTTTTGGTGTACAGGATTGACAAAGAAACAGAATCTTTGTTCCAATTGTAGTTTTACCAAGAAACCATACGCACAAAATCTTTTTGTTTAACAGATGACATATTTCTGAGCTGGCAGTGCTCAGGTTTCGGGAGGAAATGCTCGTCTTTGCCTTCAAGTTAAACTTTTTTTTTTTTTGCGCAGCCAACATACGGCCGGTGTTTTATCAGAAATTGTGAAGGACACATAGCCTAAAATCATTTCCCCATAATTTCTCCTTTCACAAGAATTTGATGCATGATTTTAATATGACAAAGTGAGAATACAGAATCAACAGTACATTTAAGAAATCACAACTGCTTTATTTCTTTTCTTTCAATAAGCTCTTTTTTTCTTTTTCTTTTTTAACAAGGGAGAATAATGACCAAATATCTGAAAGGATAAAGATCAGGTAGGATAAATAGAATGCCGGATCAGCTGTAGAAAGCACTGGTCCTCTGACAAAAAATGAAATATGCATCTTAAAAGTACAAAAAAAGTCAGGGCAACATTTTGGTGCAGGTACAATGATGAGAAGCATCAAGATCTTTTGCAGTAAGGGACGAGAGGCAAAACACTCCAAGCCCGATAAACCTATCAACAAGTGAAAGCAGTCCATTCTGAGAACACAGTGACCTTTTCAACATTAAATCCTTTATAGTGCCACAATATCTAAAATGAAATGTGGTTTAAGCCTCCCCTCGCTGTCAAGGCTTGACTGTACAGTTAAGTATGCATATACATATATACCAGTGAAACACTGTCATAAAGATAAATCGTAACATTTTGTAGTGTCATGGAGCGTTATGGTAAGCAGTAACATTTAACCAGTTATGACATTGGCATTGTGAGTTTAAAAATGAGTGTCCATTACAAAAAACAAAATAAATGAGGATTCCAACAGCTTCACATTTTCAAATAGAACATACACTTTTTAAAAGTCCTTCGTAGTCCACTGGAGCTGCAGTGCTCACAAAAAAAGCTTAAGCAAAGAGCGTATTTTAAATTCAACAAGCAATGCTAAACGCCCCTTGTTTGTGATCATTAGCTTCTAACAGAAAATAGTTATTTGGACCCTGATTGTAATTATAGTTAGGCTGCAGTTATTGCTCGTGCCACCTCAGAGACCAGATGCTGAATAATCAAATGGGGGATGAGTCCGTTTCTTCCTAATTCCCAATAGTACTGTTAAGTGGGATTTTAACGGAATTAGAGAGAAAAAGTCTTTCAAAAGCCTCAAAAGAAAAAAAGCAAAAAAAACGCCCCAGGCTGAGGGACGTAAAAATCATCACTTACATCACATGTTCATTAACAGACAATTTGATTAATTACAACCCAAACAAAGCGATAAGAAAGCAAACATTTCATTCAGCTATTTTGTGGGGTCCTTTACAGCAATTGTGAATGCAACCCCTCCCCCTCTCCCCCCCACATATAGCTTCACAATGAGCCCAAAAAATTGTTGCCAGCTTGGTTGATAAAAATCCACAGTCGATGGCAGCACTATGAATGCTGAGTTCAGGTACAGTCTTTTGTGAAATGTTGCTAGGTTTCTAGGCAGGAGTCCTGCAGGTTTACACACGTTCAGCAGATCAACATGCACACGCTGTATCAACGCCAGTGAAGTTCCCATGGAAGCAACATGATTTTGGTAAAATGTCCACGTTTGTTTCAATTTACATACAGAAGAAAGCGAGTGACAGAATGTAAAAGCAAACAACAGAGTTTTTAAGAAAAGAAATCATTTCTACCAATCTAAGCAGTTTACACTACAGTTCATGGGCTGGGTGAAGTACCCCAGAAGATGCATTTCTAGGGTGATGCACTTGACTTTCGACCATGTTGACATGCAATGGAGTCCACAAAAACTGAGATTTTTTTTTCTCGATTAATAAAAGAAGTCCTTTACCAAGAGGAGGAACGGGTGATGATGACTTGAACATTTTATGTACCAGCAAAAATGCCAATGAAGTATGACAAAAAAGTGCCCCACTGCTTTTCAAATTTGTTTAAAAAAAAAAAAAATATAATTAACAGACCTCGCTTCTCATAGTGAGTTATATCGAGCGCCTGCTTGGTCTTGAGGGCTACAGTCCATAAACGGAGTAAATACAGTTTGGCAAAATGGTATGAAAAATGAACCATCTGTCTGAGTTGGCCACTTTAAATTTTCCCCACCTTGGAGAGATACACAAAAAGAAAAAAAAAAGAAAAAACAAATATCTTTTCTCTTTACCAATCTCCCCTTAAAAGTGACTAATAATAAATTAAAGAGGACCTTGAAGAGATCTGCTTAAAAGACTGTTTGTGTCTATGTATATATTTATATATATTTATATATCTCTATACGTGTTGTGAAATAATAATGTCCAGTTCTGACAGTTCAAGAGGAGTAATTCATTATGATGTCTGGATGTATGCCCCTTGCCTTGGTGCCTTGCGATAAGGTGGCTCTTAGAAGGCTCAGACATTGGTCAAGGGGCTTGTGTTGGCAGGCTGGGTGGTGATGAGGATTTTAAGGTCCATTGCTATGCCTTGCCCTCCTCTACATTGACAGCCTGGGGTTTGATGGCTCCAGTGCGTGCTGGTTTGGCTTGCCCTGTGGAGGGTAGGGGCTCCTGGAGTTTGCTGGTCATGCCCCCAGATGGTGTCTTGCCCTCGCCCACTGCCTTGCGCACTTCTCGCATGGTTTTATTCTGCACAAAGAAGAGGCAGCGTTACTAAGACCCACAGCAGCGCCTGGCAAACTTTACATACATGCATTAACACTGGTTTGGATAGTTCAAGGCTGAAGCTCTGCTATCATTTAACAAAAGTTTGAGAGTGTTCGTTTCTGAGAATTCAAACCGTTTTTTTCGACAGAGGCAGGGTTGGCAGTTACTTATTGGTTCAGTTTTATAACACGCAGGAAAGATTCTCAGCTATCCATAACATAATACTCCTACCTACTTTATCATAAAATGCTGATGTGCCATGAATGCCACAAATAAAGATAAGCCTAAATGTAACTGACCATTTTCTAATCATAATAACCATGGTGCAGATTACCTGCCGAAAAAATTTTGCCGTCACATTAAAATTGGTTATCAACTTTGGACTATCCAAAATATGTGAAGGTTTATACATTTTGATTACATTTAGGAACACAGAAGTTATTATTGTTAGCTTGAGAAAAATAATGCTCCAACTAATAATTTAGGTAATTAGGTTTGTGTTTTCACGGTACAGTTCAGTCAATACACACATATTATCATAAATATTACTATTAACACTATAGAATTATACTATTCCAGAGAAGTCTTACAGCACTAAAAGTAAATCCTATAAAATATCTCTCATATGATTACTGTAACTGTATACTTGAAGTCAAAATCACACACAAAACAAGTAATGCAGAAAGAGAAAAGGAAAATGGATTAAATTAAATTACCTATATTTACAGTGGGTGGCTCACCTTCATGCCAGCCTCTGGCCCTTTGACAGGGGGCTCGGGGGCAGAGGGAGGGGTGGAGTGGGTGGAGTGGGGAGGGTCACGACCAGGATTGGGGTAAGGGGGGGAGCGGATGATGACAGGCTTGTTGACCTGCATGACTGGTCTCTGGATGGGATTGGGGAAAGGGCCTGTGGTGGGGGGCCGCATGTGCATCACCATGCTACCCTGAGCAGGTGGGACCTGTTGGTCATGGGGGGAGGAGGATGGAGGTGGGGGGGAAAGTAGATGAGGGGGTGGGAAATAAATGAACAAAAATAATTAGAATGTCAGTATTGAATTTCTTAGGACATTTTCAGACTCAATCCAAAAAAAGAGACAGGGTTGTTTCTGTGTGCAAGTGTAAAATTGTAAATTTTGTAAAATTTGGTAGATAATGATGTGAATGTGTTTAACCAATCATGTTATTCTAGTTCAATTCTTAAACATGAAGCCTGAGATGGACATAAGAGCACTTTGAATTTAGTAAACGTACCACACTCAGAACCCTTAGCTGTTGAAAAACCTCTCCCATTCTTCCATTAGCCCAAGAATTACAATGCCCTGTTTAACAGTTAAAGTAAACATATCTCGGATATACATTTTAAAAAACAAATACCTGTTGAGTAAAATGTGTAGGCAGAGGGCCTACGGGCCCCCCAGGACCAGAGGGCTTCCCACTAGGGCTGGCAGACCCGGGCCTGATGAGGAGAGGGGAGAAAGAAGATAGTTTTACAATCCATTTCCTTAAAAGTGCATTTGTGACACATCATAATCTGACTTGACAGAGCAAAGCTGCATATGGACTGTTCCTGCAGGTTAACTTCTATTATTTGCACAAGTCATTTCCACTCACCTGTAGGACCCTCCAGATAGGCCTGGGGAATGATTGGGCTTGTCAGAGAACTGGAAGCCTTTCATTTCCATCTGTGAGCCCTGAGAATAAGACAATGAGAAAGTTGCATTGTCAATACACCATCAACTGTTTATGGCTACTTATTTATAGATAAAAGACGTGTGGCATTATATGAATTTGTCCACATTGTTATGTGCTAAAATTGATTTTAACGCCCTCTGAACAGAACAATTTCAACAAGTCATACCTCTCGGCTGCCAGTCATGACAGCAGCCTGGGAGCCAGGTGGCAGCATTCGACGGGGGGCACCGACTGACAAGTTCTGTCCCTGCTGCAACTGGATGGACTGCGGGAGGATGAGATGTTGCTGAGCTGAACCATAGCGCAGCTGAGAGCCAGGGAGGGGCATGGTCACCTGGTGAAAACAATGATTGTATTGTAAATGCTGCTTTCATTTAAGGCAAAACTCCAATAATCATGCTGTGAAGGCTTTTACTTGCTCTTCGGGCTAACATGAAAGCTATGTATTAATTTAATAAATCCCTCTGAAATCTGACAAGCTTCAAGAGTACCTCGAGCTGTTGTGAAAATCGACTCACCTGGATGAGCTGAGAGTCAATTAACTGGGATGAACCCATACCAGGCCCCTGGTTCATCTGGTTGTCATAGACAAGCTGCTGGCTGCCATTCATAGGCTGATAGTGGGAGCCTGACTGTTGCTTGACCATGTCTGAGGGCTGCATGCCAGGGAAAGCAGAGTAAGGCCCCTTAAGAGGGGCTCCACCCGACAGCACCATGGGGCTACCCTGTGAGAGGTTGGGGTGCATGTAAACCTGGGACCTGAAAGGAGGAAGACAAAGTAGGGGAGCACGGTGAGTGAAAGGGAAACTACATGGTGATGCCACATACATGAAACTAGTTTGGACCAGTGGAAATGCATAAAAAAAGTGAGGTGGCAGTACCTGAAGGGAGGAATAGAGTTGAACATCTCTTGGGACTGGGAGACGGGTAGACCTCCCCGAAGTCCCAACTGAGCCTGAGCCTGAAGAGACGTGTGCAAAGAGATGGGAATCTGCTGGGCAGCAGCCGCCTGTATGGATGAACAGATCTAACATAATGACTTTTCTGCTGATACTTGCGTTTAGTCTGTGTGTTTAGGTATGTGTTTCTTTTTACCTGTTGGTAGGTCTGCTGCTGGGTCATCGTGGGGGGTACGAGGCGTGGCTGGCTAGGAAAGACATGGCCATCCAGATACAATGGGGGAATATGATTACCTACAGAGGGGACAGGAAACAGACTTTTAGTTTAGCTCTCCTCAAAGATTAAGCGCTCGTCAAACAGAGAAAATGAAATGCAGTTTTACCTTGCATGGACATAGAAGGTGCTACTGAAGCCACAGGCATTGGAGGCATGGAAACCCCTCCAAAAGAACTGTAGCTGACGCCACTGGATGAGCCAACACTGCAGGGAGGCTGAGCACCTGAAGCACCTCCGCCAGGAGAGCCCTGCTCGGGGAGGGACTGGGAGTTTTCCCACGCCTTGCGAGCCGATTCCATCTGAAATGGAATCATTTTAGGTTGATATGCATGTATGAATTAAAGTCAGTTTTTCCTTAATGTTCCCACTATATTTTTCCCTCAACAGACAGATTATTCCTGATCTGCTACATGGGATTATAATTCAAATACCTTGAGAGTGAGGTCAGCACTGGGGAAGGAGATGGGGTTGAGGTTAATACCAGGCTGCAGATGGTTGGAACGCAGCATGGGGATACTCTGGTTGAGAGCAGTCTGTTTAAAAACAAGAAAAGTTCAGGATCAATCAGTTGCACAAAACATGAAGCATTTCACTACTACCTTCACATTGATTGTCACACCAATCTTGAATGCATTTGGATTACCAGTGCTTTTTTGTATTTACAAGACACCATAAAAATACAGATATAAATCACTCACATTGGTGGTAAGTGCGTCTTGAAGCTTGTTGACAGGATTGGACACCGGCACGGGGGTAGAGCCCGGTGGTAGGCTGAAATCAGAGTCTTTGGCACTGACACCAAACTCAATAGGAGGCACAGGCAGCACAGCATCCACATGGAGGTCCACACCATTGACTGGTGTGATGGGGCCACCTTCCAGCCTATCAACACCTTCTGAGCCCTTACGGTGCTTTAGGGAGCGTTCATTTCCGATGGGCCCTGGTTTGTGCTGTTCTTTACTCTGCTCTGGACCAGCATCAGAGTCCTGGCCGAGAAGAATAAAAAGGCACTCATTTGTTACTCAAAGTAATGAGATAATGTTGCCAATTTGTATCTTAAGGTGGCAGGCAAGAAAAATGTTGAACTCAGGATTAAGATTTTTTTTTCCCCCTGCAGACACAGAATTTATGCAGCAGAGGTTTTAATGTGCAAATGCATTGTCCTACCTCAGAGTTGGGCTCGCTCCCAGTGTAAGACACTTGTTTAGTCCACGAGTCTCCCCCTGAAGACTGTACTGAAAGAGCTAAAAAGATAAATGAATTCTATTAGTGAAGAATGCAAATTGACTTCTACTCACAAAAAAGTCTCAAATTCGGATTGACAGACATACTTCTGCATTGAAACATAAAAATGTTCATACCTATACAAAAATTAAAACTTTTACAAGGAATGCACATTTTAAATAATTCAGTACTTCCAAACAGTTCTTCCTTCTGGCTGTTTTAATGTCCTAAACCATTTATATTTTGTATATATTAAGCCTACCACAGTTATATCCCTAACATTAAAAAATAAAAAGGTTAAGAAATGCGGTTGTAAACTTCCTCAGTTTAATATTTGAGCTATCCTGTATAATCTAGTATCTGAGGTTACTGATTTATAGCAGGAACAAAAGCCTTGACACAAAGTTGGGTCTGTCACCTACCTGAACTGTTGGTCTCCCAGATTTCAGTTCCCAGGTTGTTGGAAGAAAGAGATTCCTCAGGTTGTTCAATGCTCATGGTTCCCTGCTTTTTGGCAAAGCGTGGTGGTATCTTGGATGTGATAGTTCTGTTCTTCACTGGCACCTAATACAGGCAACAATGAGAAACGCTTAGACTACACACTTTTTGTTAAATCATGACATAATTACTGAGCATCTGGATTGAGCGTATGTTAACTTACTGAAGCTCCCTGTTCCTTCCTCCTTCTATCATCTTCCTGTGGGCGTCTTTGCTTTTTGGACAAGGCATCCTGGTATCCATCTGGATTCGAAACGGGTCCCCCTGCATCCCCTTCAACTACAAAACAGGCATTTGGTCAATGCAAAATTAACAGTAGATAAGGTGGAACTGCAGTACTTAACATTATTTTTTTATTTCTCTTTAAAATCTTGTGAGTCAGTACCGCAGCATGCATCAGCAATCAGTACCTGCTCTAAAAATGCACAAATGTAGAAGCACATTATGATGTCCAGAGATAAATTTAAATAAATTGGACTTACTTGGGTAGCTGCTGAGCTCATACTGGGACAGAGGTTCAGCTATGTCTGTCTTGACAGGTCCTTGCTTCAACTCTTTGTCTAATTTCTTCCCAGAGGGCTCATTGGGCTCCCTTTCCTCTGGCTGCTCTATGCTGTAGACGGGGCTGAAAAACAGGAAGGGGAGAGACAAGCAGGTTTTAATTGGGTATTCTTAGCTCTGCTAAAACATCAACATAAAAACAATCAAACAGTTGCAAAATACCCAAAACCTCTGGCAATCTTATCTATCTCAAACATATTTTTCCGATAAGCTAATTAAGTTCCGCAAAGCTTGATGGCAGGTGGAATAAAAAACGACACAGTATGACTCTTAATCCAGGCACTGGGAGGATGCTGTGAAAAATCTAGTTGTGTTGCTCAATAGGCCAAACCTCCAGTCAGGGCACAGGCACTGTTCCCACATTCATATAGCCAATGGAAATGAGATACATCTTCATCTGGGAAAGACTTTATGGTGAGAAGTGCTCAGTAGAGCAGACACTGTTAAATCACAGGGGAATAAATAATAAATTGTTCCTTAAAAGAATGGAGCAGAATGGATGAGAATTCAAAGAACAAACTATCAGCTAGTGACAGTCGGATGAATTTTGGTTTCCAATTGCCAGCTAAAATGCATTAGCCTCATCCAACTTGGAAAAAATTACACACAAAAGCTAACAGTTGGTACACACTAACAACAGACACATAAGCAAACTATAATTTAACTACATTAGAACAACCAGCAATACAATCACTGCTGGTAAAATTAAAGCTACGTATCTCACTGAACAATTAGTTTCTCTATATATAGAGTAAGCAACAACATACGTTCAAAATGGAGAATGAAGGAGTGTCAGTATATTTAAGTCAAAACAATATAGGAGATGCACTGTGTTGTTGGTTTCAACTGTAACAACCAGACCTGAAACAAGACACTAGAGCATTAATATAATTCCCAAGTACATATTGAGGATGCTTCATTCCCACTAGCAATACATATGGGTACAGGATAGTATAGCCTACAATTACTTCAAATTAAAGTTTGTTCTATTATTCACTTCACCTCTTACAAGACGTCCCTCCATTCTGCCAACTGTCACTCCTGTTAGAGGAGGAGGTGGGGGGATTATCAGGTGTACGTGACATCTTGTTTGCTTCTAGCAGAGATGGCTCTCCTTTTCTGTTCTGCCGTTCCACCAATGGTCTCTGGCTGGAGAAGCTTCTCTTGCAAAGTTCCCTCTTCTCGCCAGAGCCTGGTTCACCATGGCCAGAGTCTGAGGGAACATCACCTTGTCCCTGTGTAGCCGCACCTCCGCTTCCACCTCGCTTCTCTCTCCAGTCACCAAAGTCGCTGTTGTCCGATCCCGTCTCCCATTCCTCCGCCTGACCATGTTGGTTAGAACGTCCACCAGAGTAGTGGCCACTGGGCCAGTTCTCTTCCCCAGTCCCTTTGGGGCGTCCAGGCCAGGGGTTTGCAAAGTCTCCATTTACGTACTCCTCGCTTGTCCACTGGTTGGAGCCAGGTTCACGTTCTTGTTGTAGACGTCGGAAGCGTGGGGGCTTGTCTTGACGGGGTGGACGCCGTCTCCTTAACATCTGCCGGTCAGGGTTGTCATTGTCAAAGTAGTATTCTCCTTCACGGTCCTCTGTGCCATTTTCCATGAAAGAGCCAGTGAATTTGGGAGGGTACTTGAGAGTCTCACGTTCAACAGGGGGTCTGCGGATGTAAGCAGTCTCAGCTCCAGGACCATAACCATTTTCTTGCATGGAGCCACCACTGCTATTAAACTGTGGCCCACGACCTCTCCATGTAGAAATGTCCCTGGTTCCCCCAAAGCTTCGACTGTAACTTCCAGTGGTGTTCAGTCTGGGAGGCAGCATGCGACCTCCGAAGCCTCTGCTGGCCTTGGCCTTTTCTCTGGAATCTGGGGCCGTCTGGTCATCTGTGTACACCTTGTTGGATCTCCAAGAGTCTCTATCAGCTTTACGAACTTCTCCAGACTCTGTGTAACCTTCTCCATTTTCAGATCCCTTCTGGCGGCGCCTCTTGGGCAGTTCCTCGTACTCAGAGGCTTCACTCAAAGTCTCACTGACATTTCGCCTCCGGGGTTTGCCCCTCTGGAACTCTTCAACCTTGACAAGATCCCTAGGTGGTGCCCGGCCTCTGCGCTGAGCACCACTGCTGTTGTTGTTGTTATAAGCCCCTCGGAGATTGTCTCCACCTCGGCCACCACGGCTTCCGCCTCTAGAGTTAAATTCCCTAAAGCCTCGACTGCGGCCTCTACCTGTTCCCCTGACTGCACCAAAGGCCTGTTCTTCATCAATGAAGATCCAG